TGAATCCAGGATCTGAGCTACACGCACAATCCTTTTTATTCATTCATTTATTTATTTAATTTTGAGATTCGGTCTTGCTAAACCCAGGCTTGGTTAGAACTTGTGATCCACTTTCCTCAACCTCTAAAATTGCTGGGATTACAGAGGTGCACTACCACACTTGGCTGGTTGAAAAATTGATATTTGAAAAGCACAATTATTGAAAAGGACAGAGTTGTACCATAAAAAGACTGATCGGGTACTATGCATAAAACGAATGGGTACAGAGGTTGGCTGGAGAAACAGACATTAATTAAGAGGCCATGTCAGTGAAGAAGTGAGAAATGAAGACAATTAAGTTGGAATTAGGTAAGAAAATAGATTTGGGACTTAGTGGGATCAAAAACAACCTGGGGACAAATGATATGTGGGTTAAGGGAACCAGGAAGCCTCCCCCAGGGGTTTATTGGGTGCTTCCCCTCAGAGCTGACCTCATCCACGCTGCAGAGCCTGCACAATGATGCTGATGTGGAGTTCCTGCCACCCAAATACTAAATCATGCAACATGTGACAAACAGCAATGGGACAGAGGCAATGTTCAGAAGACCTGACCGAGAGGTGTGGCTCTCCAGGAACTTGACCTATGGCTTTTACGTAAGAACTCATCGCTGAGCTTTTGAACCCTGCTCAGTAAGAGATAAAAACCTCTACTCGTGCTTACTGTTCATGAATATGGGTGACATCCATTAAGTGGTGTGAAAACTAAGAAGTTCTGTCCAAAGAGTCATTACAAGTTTTACTGCCACTGGGCTGCTCAAAGGATCTCTTTCATTTCTCTTCTTCACACAAAAGCAGGTATTCACAACCAACCTGAGGTAGGTGTCAGCACCCATCTCTCTGCCCATCCTAACAGTTATTCTTTTCTGTTGCTCTGACTCTAAAATTGAGATGTTTAGCACAGGGGTTACCATAAAGATGGTTCTCTTTCACCTGATAGTAATTTCCTGCAGTGCACCCAGCATATTTGTTGAAAAGCTTTAAATATCCTGGTTTTAGGGCAATGTATAAAATGCTACCATATCAACACTCTCAATTATTTCTTAATCTTATTTTTTTTTAATCCTAACAAAAATGACAGTCTGGGAGTTCCATCAGCCATGAGCTCCACAATTCTTCTCTGAATCACAAAATATCACCCCAAAACCTACAATTTCAATGAAAAGTAATGATCTACTCTCATTCTGGAGAACAAACACTTTGAGTTACTTTTACAGAGAGTGTGTTGATCTTTAGGTTCCCATCATTCTTAATGACTTTCCAAGGAATGTTCAGGAGAAACGCTGCTAGAATTTAACATAAATGCTACAGTGAGTGGAGTGAATTCTCAAGTGCACCATGCCAGAGCTTGCCTGTGTTTTGTAGTTCGTTACTGTCCCTGGAACAGCACTGAGGCAAGCTAGTCTAGACCTCCTGGCTTTATGCTAAGGAAATGGCACCAAAGTCACATTCAGAATCCTTAACCAAATCATACAGAAAATACACATCCCATTTCACAGGAGAGTCAAAATAATGCACAATATGAAAGTTCTGTGAATGACATGGGCACATGGAATTAACACTGGTGTCTCCAAACCAGCACAAAGATTCTACTGTACCTTGAAAGGGATTTCAAATGAGAAGAGAACATTTCTCCTTTATAAAGAGTTGCTTATAACAATATTTTTCAAGGAACTCAATTCAGATGTTACAGGAAACACATTACAGCCTATGGTAGCATGCAAATTCACGGCTCAGCACATTATGGAAACACAAATACATTCCCTCTTGTTCTTATTTATAGCACTACAATGTAGGAAAATTGAAGCAGCTAACCTGAAAAATCACATGTATTTTTTTTATTAAAATATTTTTCCTCAGTGAGTTTAATGCCAAATTTCCCAGAAATTCTCAATGTGATGAAAGAACACTGTTTTGAGATGCAAAGATAATTTTTCCATTGGTCACTATAAAATTAGAAGTAAGAAAGCCAGGGGAAAAGCTGAATGGAGCTCGCTTGGCAACTGTTCAGCCCTTGGAAATTTCCAAGTCCTTCGTAATCATTAATTAATTAGTGAAGATGATATTACTCTTTGCTGAGGTTGAAAGCACAGCATACAGAGGTCTGGTGGTTTTCCTAAAATTGAAAGAGGAATGTCCAGGAAGAGACAGGGTAGGAATCAGCAGGAACGCATTCCTCAAACTTGCAATTATGTCACACAGCCACATGCAGCCAATATAGAAACAGGAGGGTCCTCTGTGCAGAGGTGCAGTTGAGTCCGGCAGTGTTTCCCTCCAAGATCAACTGTGTAAGCACTCCCTCCCTCCCTTCGTGCCCCAACACATGGACTACGTCCTGTAGCTTTCTCTCTCCCCTTTTCCAAAGCACAGATAGCTAAATATCAACCTCTAAACACTCATCTTAATATCATAGTGGAAAAAGTACATAATTTGATTTTCATTCTTAATATGCACCATGGAATGTGATATGTGAAGATGTGATAATGCTGAAAAACACACATTTCAAAGTTTTTAAAGTGGCATGGAATCTATTGATATCTATGCCCTGGAATAGTGTAATAAATCACTTTGGAAAACTACCTCATTCAAATCGGAGAACAATAAAGTCCTGGTGAATGGTTAATAAAGTCTCATTCCATCACCCGAAGCAGGATGGTGAGCACAGACCAAATGCTGGTCATACAGCTGAACTGAACATCTCAGGTGCAGGCTTTGCAATGGGCCTCACTGTTTCCTTGACCAATGGATTGGTGCCAAATGCTGAACAAGGACCTTCCAGAGTATTCTGTGTTATCACTGGACAACAGAGCATTTGAAGAGTGGCTCTGGACTTCGCATTGAAAAATTCCCTCCATGTGGATATATTTTTGCTTTTCCTCATGTCTGGTTCCACATGTGGGGCTAACAGCACTTACAAGGGAACTCAGGGGTCAGCTCTGTCTTTCCCTTAGAAGTATCACTTACTGTTCCTTCCAGGCAGCCTATTTTGGACCAAGCAAAATGTGCCTGGACCACAAATGCCAAGAGCAATTGCCCCAACCTAAACTTTTATCATAATCTGAATTTGCTGCAGTTGTGTAAAAGTGAGGTAAGGTGATCATTTTTTTTTTTTCTATTTCTAAACTGTTTCTGTAGGACAGTCACAAAGGGGAAGACTGTATAGCTAAATTATATCAGACAAACACAAAGCATTTCTTATCAAAACATTTCTTTTCATAAAGAGACTGTAGAAGCATGGCATGTTACAACAATCACTTGGAATTGTAACTTGGAATCTTTATGTTGGAAAGTGATTGTGGCTGGCCCACTTTTGCATGGTGGGTGCAAATGAGGTTGGTGGATTCCCTCCTTGTCCACGATAATCACTAGGGAGCTGGTCTGTACTCTTAAGGAACTTGGTGTTCACTTGGGCGTACCACAAGCAAGGCAGAAACTGTCACTCCAGACCGTATAGGACAGTTCTGTTAGAATGTCTGAAACGAGTAGCTTGCCAAAAAAAAAAAAAAAAATAGAAAAAGAATAAAAGACGCACATCCATCTTCTGCTGTGATCACCTCTTAAAATTACCTTTAAGCCAATCAAGGGCTCTCAAATTTCTGATATCTAATAGTTGTTCCTAAAAGGAAAGAAGGGTTCAGTTCTAAGTCAGTGGCTGGAAGCTGCATCGGCTCCTTCATTTCACCTTTTCCAAGTAATTCTCAAGGCTTTCTCTTGCCATGGGGAGAGGAAAGAGACTGAGTTTGTTCAAGTTCTAAAAGAAAAGTGAGTATGGATTCATAGTAGTATTTTTTAAACTTTGATAATATATTTATTAACTCAGTATAACCAAATATTATTTTCAATAGAAAAGGAACATCAAAATTATTAGTAAGATATTCTTTCTGGTATTAAGTCTTTAAAACCTGAGGCATATTTCAATCTTGTGACACATTTCAATTTAGATGCTACATGTTCATTAGACAGGTAACTTGATAGGTAGAGTTCATAAAATTAACAATTGAAAGTATAGATTAATTTAACCACATCATTCCAACTCAATGTAGACATTTTCCTAACAGAATCATACATAAATTTTTAAGTTTACACATATACCAATGAAATTAAAATTTAAAGATCAGGATGGGTAGCATTATATTTTATGCAGTCAGCTGAAGTTTGCTGAATATGTTGACTTAAAAGGCATCCATATAATACTGATAAGTAAGCCAAACAACACAAGAAAAATCATCACCCGCTAAGAATTTTCAGACATTGCTTAACAGGGTCAAGGGCAGAAGAGTAACTATCTCCCCGGAGAATCAGTGCAGGAAGAAATGAATGACAAAGAAGTCCCATTACACTGCCTCCCAAGGGGTATGTGTGCCCACATTACCTTGATCCTATGGATGTCTCCTGCCTCCTAAATCTTTGGCCACTTGTTCTACCCTAGCAGGATTGCAGTTCCAACCCTGCTTCAGTTCTGACCACTTTGGAATGGGCACAGACTGACCACAGCTCACCTGAGGAATACCCCACATACCTCTCACTTAGACACACAGCAATGACTTGTAGCTGTCAAAGCATAAGATGCTGCCTACTGCTTCACTATCTAAATCAATGCAATATGTACGTGGAGCTTTCCTCCTTGGGATGTTCTGATCAATAGGATGCACAACCCGGAAGAAATTACTTTTTCTTCCTTCCCCAGAACAGATTTCCTTGATGTACTATGATTCATATGGCTTGTTGGGAGAAAATTTTTCAAAACTGAGCAGTTAGTTGCACTTGACAATAAACAGTAGCCATGTTCCTAATGGATCTGCAAATAGGATCTGTATTTTATCCTATTTCATTTTTTTTGGAGTTGTATTTGTTAGCAAAACAAAAGAGAAGCAGATGCAATTTTGCCTTTAGCTTTGCTTTCTGGGTAAGGCAGACAAAGGGAAGTCCTCTGCCTCCCTGATACGTGTTGATGAGTCCCTTACCTTTGGCTGCAGTGAGGGTCCCCCAGGAGTGGCGCCAGGATCTGTGATGTAGGTCTTCTTGGGAGCAGTGGCTTGATACATGCCAGTAGGGTTCTGGTTCCCAGCCCCAGGAGGAGCGTACCCTGGATCGCGCTTCCAGGTGTTCGGATGACCTTGTTGACCATAGGCAGGATCCGAGTCATTTCTGCCCCCATACCCTGGCCCTGTGGTATAATAGGGATCATAATAACGTCCTTGGTTGGGGGTATAACCATAGGCAGGCTCAGGCTGAAGTCCTGGTGGTGGAACATACCCATAATCTGTGCCTCCTCGGCTTGAGGGAGGTGGACCCTGCCCCGAGACAGGAACTGGCTGAGTGTTATAGCCATGGGGCCCAGGGCCATACATTTGTCCTGATGAAGGGCCAGCTGTGTAGTGAGGGCTGGGTTGGGCTGACTTCACTTGCACGTTGAAGGTAGGTCTTGATGGGGTGGATGCTGTGGTATAGGAGGCTGGGACCGGCTGAGGCTGTGGTTTGAGGGTTCCAATTGGAGCCACAGGGATGGGTCCAGCCTGGGGTGAAGCCTGAGGTTTCATTGTAGACTTTTTGGTTGCTGTTAGAGGGGGTTGGTTTGGGATGACCATTCTTTTATGTCCTGTGACAGGGGTGGCAACTGGAGGAGAAGCTGTTGAACTAGCAGAGCCCTGGAGGAGGAAAAAGAAAAAAGATGAAGATTATTGCCAATGAGACAAAATTAAAATGCACTAATGAACAAATATTAATAACAGCTAATTATTATTCATGTATAAATATGGTAAATAAAAATTCAATGTGATTCTGCCCTAAAAGTCAAAGACTAAAATAGAAACCAGTCATGTGTATGTGTATACAAATAAACTGTAAAAAAAAACTAAAGAGAAAAATCTATTTCTAATAGCATCCAAAATAAACAAAAAATGCCTAGTCTAAAATAAAACTTAACCTAAACCAGTGATAAATGGGTATACCAAAAGCCACAAGACATTGATGAAAATAACCCCTTTCTCCACAAATGGGAAGACATCTGTATTCATGGAGTGGTAGACTTAGTATTGCTAAGAAATATTCAACCGTGCAAATAATCTGAAGATTAGGGCAATACTTGCCAAAATTTCAATAACTTTTTTTTTAGAGAAATAGAAAAATACTTCTGAAGTTCATACAAAACCACAAAGGCGCATTAACAGCTAAAGCACTACTGGCAAGGAAGAGCGAAGCTTATACATGTATCACAAGAAGCATAGGTCATAATTCCTGATTTCAAAATATATGACAAAGCTACATAATCAAAGCAATGTGATATTTGCATTAAAAGATAAAATGCCAATGGAGTAGAATAAAGAATCCAGAAATGAATTCACACATATAAATCAGTTTTATTTTTGCCAAGGGTGAGATTACACAATGGGAAAAGAACATTCTTTTCATTGAACAATGCTGAGAAAAAGGGATATCCACAAGCAAAGGAATGAAACTGAACCCTGCACCTATACCATCAACTAAACCTTGATGAAAGACTTAAATATGTGAAAGACTTAAGAACTGGAAATAAATATTTACAAGAAAACTCAGAGCAATGCTTCATTGGATTTGGCAACCATTTCCTGGATATGACAACAACAACAATGAAATCAAACAAGTGCACACCTGTCAAACTAAATAGTTCTGGATAGCAAACAGCATAAAGACACATGACAGAAAGGGAAAGAATATTTAAAGGTCATATATCCATTAAAGGGTTAATCTTCAAAACAGATCAGAGACACTTAGAACTCAGTAGTAAAAAGTAAGACAACACGTACTGAGCTATCACTCCATGATGGCAGGACACCTATTATTAAAAACAAAACAAAAGAGAACAGTAGTTGTAATTTTTGGACAATATTGGTAGGGTACAAAAGACGCAGAAAAACAAAATCAAGATCTCAAAGAGGTATCAGCACGCCTCTGTTCACAGCAGCATGAAATGCAAGAGCCAAGATACAGAAACAAATTACATGTCCCACAACAGATGGAAGAGCAAAACCAAAACAACCACGCTGCATGCATACAGTGGAACAGGGTCTGCTTTGCATAAGGAAACTCTGCAATACTCAACAACATGGATACTCCTGGAGGACCTATAAGTACATGAAATGATCCAGTCTCAGACAGACAAATGCTGAATGACTCTAAGAACTGTCAAAAATAGTCACTTCAATAGAATCGAGGAGTGAAATTCTAGGTATGGTGGTCTCAGAAGAAGTGAAAATGTGGAATTCCTAATCAATGGACATAAATTTTTGGTCAAGAAATGTGAATAAACTCTAGAGGCTTGGTGTTCCATACTTGGTATCTAACCGTAATGCATTGCATGCTTAAACTTTTGTTAGAAGAGTAGCAAGACAAGAATTATGATGTTATTTTGACTTGTGCAAAATAGATGTTGAGGTCCTAATCCTACAGAGAGAAGATGCAGGGGGTAGGTACATCTCTGCTCTCATTATAGACCTGTTCTCTGACACATGATAAAGTCCAATGGGATAGGGGGACGTCTTCGTCCCAGGACACTACCCCTCCAATTAATCTCACCTGCTTTCATGTGTTGAAGGTACTTGGAAAATGACTGGTGAAAAATACTACATAAAAGACTCTTGCAGGAATTTGAGTCTCAGAAAAATGACATGTATTGGTAATTATAGATGAGTGTAATGTTTAAATGTGCTTGATTTTTGAAATGAAACAAAAGTAAAATGGAATGCCTAGTACATGCTTGGAAATACGAAATAAACTAATGAATGGAAACACTCCTTACTTGCATCTTTAATTCAATTAACCAGATACATGGATGAGCTGAATACTACCATAGTTCTTGTTAACCATGAAGATGACAAATATGCTTTAAAATGATCCTGTTTTTTTGTTTGTTTCTTTGTTTTACTCCTTTTTCTTCCAATGAGGTAAAATACATATGACTCCAAGGGCAGAGGAAATTTATATATACATTTATATCAGCACATACACAATGGAATTCATAATATGGTTGAGGGAAATCTTCTCACCCACTACAAAGAACTCTGCAAAGGTGCTATTTCCCAGAAGAGGCAATGGTTACTGGAATCATGCTGTGATGCCCTCACTCCCAGCATCCAGCAGGGTTTAAATAGTGTGCATGAGAGAATGCATCTACGTGAGTGAATGTGTCATGAAGAAACATCTGTGCAAAGGGCCACTTCTGAGCAGTGAAATCTTTATTAGTTTCTTTGTATTCACTTGCACATTGGCTCCACTTTGTCAACTATGTGACTTTGAATATTTCTTCTGGGATAGAATTTACAGCTGTAGCCTACAGGGTGCCCGTCACCAGCCTGGTTGCTCAGTCACTGTTCCCATTTATGGTTGAGTTTGTAAACTGCACAGAATATGAACCCTGGGATTTTGCTGATCTTGTGTTATCAAAGAAAGCAATTTCATGTCCTCTTTCTTTCAATTCTGTCTCTGTTGATATATTTAAAGACTGACATAGATGATCAAAAAATGCTGACCATGAAGTTTTTCTTTTTTCCTTTCTTGTTTTTTTTTTTTTTTTTTTTGGTTATTGTTGTTTAATTGGAATTTTCCATGCCCTTTATTAGAGAATGTTGGATTGTTTACTGGGTACTCCTTCAGAAATGTATTCAGCATACATAATTTAATAATAAACTGTTTAATGGGGGAAATGTATATGATGGTACTACAGGAGCTTCCTACAAGGAGAAGGAAAGGATACTCCATCAAGATGTAATATCATCCTGTTTGTTAATAAGATTACCAAGAGAAAGAGGGAGAGAGGGACGGAGGGAGGGAGAGAGAGAAAGGACGAAGACCATGAAGGAGGAGGAGATGGAGACTGGAAGAGGGAGAGGAGGGGAAGTGGAAGAAGAAGAGGGAAGGGGAGGAGAAGGAGGAGGAGGAAACAGGATGAACAAGAAAGAGGGGAGGAGAAGGAGAAGCATAAAAAAGAGAAGAGAAAGCAAGAGGAGGATGGAAGAAAAAAAGGAAGGGAAGAAAATAGAGCAAGCAAGGAAAGAAAAAGAAAATAAAAAGGGAAAAGAAAGAGAAAGAGAAAGAAAGAAAAGGCAGAGAGATTAAATCTAGAATTAAAAGGCCCCTAGGAAACCACAGGTGAGACTAAAGAGACATAGAAATGATGGCTACAAGAGTGAGGATTCCACAGGAACAATGGTGCACTCAAACTAGGCCTCCCAGGGAGCTGACTGACACCGCGCTTGTACACAGGCTCATTCAGGGGCAGCACGGCCAGCAGGGAATTAGCAACAATCTGTGTCTCTCCAAACCAAAGCAGTCATGTTCCCTGCTTCTTCAGCACTGGAAGAGATTTCTCTCCAACGCATTTTCAGTCGCATCACTTTACTGTGTGAAAGGCATTAACCAATGAGTGGGAACTTGAATTTGCACCTGCTTCTTCCACCTTGCCTTCCGAATCCTGTCATGTCCCTCCCTCACTGGTCCAAGCTTGCTCACATGTCAGAGACTGCACCCGTGAACTTCCCCAATTCTCTCTGAGTTATTACTATTTAGTACCAAGGATCGAACTCATGATTTTGCCAGGCAGGCGCTTATGCCTTTTTTTTTTTTTTTTTTTTTTTTGTCTTTTCTGAGATGGGGTCTCGTTACGCAGTTCAGGCTGGCCTGGAGCTCACTTTGTAGCTAAGGCTGATCTCAAACTTGCAAGGATCCTCCTGCCTCAGCCCCTGAGTGCTGGGATTACAGGCATGAGCCACCACACCCGGCTGGAATCCCTTAAATCTTAACCTGAGGGCCAAGTACCTAAACCAACTTTCGCCTGGCTCTTCTTGCTTGGTTCTCTTCTTTTTCTATATCTGCACCCACAAAGGTAGAAACAAGTGCCTTTTATTGAATGATGCCTTGCAAATAGCTTTATCCTACTGAGCACACAGTAGGCAATTAAGCAATGTTTAATGCATGAATAAATGATCATCTCCCCAGAAATATGTGTTTGTTTTGACAGATTAAAACCAACCAGGAAAAGCATGCACTAATTCCCCTTATTGACTTAATGCATGCTGAATAGTAGTAATGTCATTAATTTTCCCCTTCCTCTAAATCATTTAGTAATTTTATTTTGGGATTTTATTAATACTATTATCTCTCCAAAAAGCATTTGAGGTTCTTATTTTCATTTTACTGGTTAGATTATAGAAGTTCTACTTGAAGGCAATAGTTAAGGGATAAATTTTAAATACATTTATCAGAAAAGAAGAGATTAATGCAGTTTAAAATGATATTTTATCACATATCTGAGACAAAATCCTTTTCAATTAAGTAGCAAATAATCACAATACACCAAATCCCAGAAATTCCAAATCACTTATTCAATAAAAATTTATTGAAAATCTACCAGGCATTGAACTGGCTATTAGGATCTCAGTTACAGTACTCAGAAAATTACTACTTATTCAATATTTTGTGAAAAATTTAAAGTGATGAGAAAAAAATTATTTGTACTGAGAAAATTGTCTACGGAAACAAGATGAGGGTATCTTAAAGTGGAAGGAACCACATTTAATCAGCAATATAAAACTCAAAGCCCCTACATTTTAGATAGATCTTGGGTCTATACTGATACAGAAAACTGCTAAAAGTCTTAAATGACAAAGTAGTA